AAAGCAGATAAAGAAGGTAGAAGGGAAAATAAATATGGGGCTCGGAAGACTATGGGGGCTAGGAGAAAAGTTATTTAGAGAAAACTGGGAGCTACGGATGAACCTGTTCGATGCTCTGGCGAAAAGCGTGATTATGTATGGAGCAGAAATCTGGGGATGGAAGAGATATGAGGAAATACAGAGACTACAACTAAAATACATAAAGTGGGTATTAGGATTAGATAGAAACACGCCAAGTTACCTAATACGATGGGAAACAGGAAGACAAGAAATGAAACAAACAGCATTAGAAAAAGCAATGAAGTATGAAAACAAAATAAGAGAAGAAAGAGATGGCACAATAAAAAAAGAAGCATGGAGAGAATTAAAGAAAAGGGAAAGAAATGAAAAAGAGAAAAAGGGTAAGAAGAAGGAGAGAGAGGAAAGGCTGGAAAAAAGTAAAATATACTGAGAGAGGGAAGAGGGAGATGAAATGAGGGAAGAGTTTTGGAAAGAAATAAGAGATGAGCTAAAGAAAAAAGATGAAAAAGAACTAGAAGAAAAACTAGAAAAATCAAGATACATAAACGAGTGGAAAGAGCTGAAAGAAGAAATGAAAAGGTATAGGTTAAAGGAAATTCAAGAAGAGGGAAGAATAAAAGGCCTGCAAATAAGGGAAAGGTTTAGGTTAGGTAATGAAACGAGAGGAAGCAGGTATTGGGATAAAGAAGAAAATAAGAGATGCAGAATGTGTATGAAAGAGGAAGAAAATTGGAAGCACATGGTAGAAAAATGTGAAAAAAGCAGAAAGGAAGGGGAACAATGGGAAAAAAATAATAATAGAAAGCAAAGAAAAGATAGCGTGGATGATGGAGATAAAATGGAAAAGAAGAAGAAATGAAGAGAAGAAAGAAAAAGAAAAGCAAGAAGACGAAGCTACAAGACCCTAAGGAGAGACGGAAACAGAAGACAGAGAAGCAAGACTGGCAAACACAACTACACACACATACATACATACACATACACACAAAACACGAACACACGCGCAAACATAAACATACACATGCACACACACACACACAATACACAAGTAATAGCAACCACACAAGCGAGAGGAAGTAGGTATTGGAGGATGGAGCAAAATGGAAAAGAAGAAAAATCGAAGAAGAAAAAGAAAAAGGTAAACTAGAAGACAAATCATAAGATACTAAGGAAAAATAAGTGAGGTTGAGGAAAGGAAAGGCAGAGGGAGCAATAGGAAACAAGAAAAAGGTGTCAAAGCCTTAATAAGGAGAAAGATAGATGAAATGATTAGCAAGAAGGAGAGCAAACGCAAAGGAAAGGTAAAGGTGAAAAGGCAAAAGAAAGTAATAAAGGAAAAGCTGAAAAGAAAATATGCAAGAAAGAGAAAAAAACAGAAGAGCGGAAAAGGCAGATCTTGGAGAGAGAAAGAGGAAGAGAAGATTAATCAGAAGAAAAATGAGAAGAAAAGAGGAACAGACAGGCGCAGAAGACAGGGACATAAGAGTTGCAGACACACCTACAAATGCACATATTTACACAAGACACACACGCACGCGCGCACTCACACATACACACACACACACACAAAACACATACATAATCAACTACACAAACTGGATACGAGACACAAATAGTAATATAAGAAATGTAATCCAAATGTAACATATAAGTTTTTAAATAAATAAACTATATTAATATATGTGTCTTTTATTTATTTTTATATATATTTATTGCCTACTGTGTATTTATTCAATAGCTTGATAATTCATTATCCTGCGATGTACCTTGTATTCCCCACCAAAGTGTCTAGAAACGTGTTAGACAGAGACATCTATCTTATCTATCGCGAGCAAGCATACTGACTGCATGTACAGAGGTTTCCGAGTTCGAATTCCAAATCTAGCACTAGTAGCTTTCCGCTATACTTTTTTTCGATCTAATGCCATCGTAGAACTAAGCGAGACAAGACAACTATTGGATGATACCTCATCGGTTTCTTTGACGGTAGGATTTATCAGGTGCCGTTCAGCATAATTTATGACGCAATTTCTAGTTATAGTACGGTACTAGAACGATAGGAGATATTTCGTTGATGCGGGTGCGATCGTGGATGTAAGCAAAAATGCAAATGAAGCTGCTAGTGTTCCGAACTGAATACCAAAAGGAGCGAGAGTAGCTGATCGCTTTCTGAGTTCAGGTTAAGTTCTAGGTTCTGTAATTTTATAGCGTATTCTACAAACCTTTTAATTGTAACGAAGAACTCCGGCCGTACCCTTCTGGGTTGCTCGCGATCGTCCGCACAAATTATTTATTCGGGGATTCGGGAAGCAACAGACGTTCCCACGACTGAATAACGCGTCGAGCGTAAACACGTTAAACGCACAGATTCGAAGTCGGGATGAGAAGTGATACAGCGGCGAATAAACACAACAGCGGATTGATACACTAGTCGTTTAATTGTCAACAATCAATTACAATACGGCGACCTCGGACTTATACACTACGGGTGGCACAATAACAAACGCGAACGCGAAGGTGAATCGGTGGCTGGTCAGCCTGCCGATTCCCTTGTAAAAACTAAATATTATAACAATATATGCCCGTTAAATACTTTCCGCCGATATTCTGCCAACGGGTAGCCAGCTGATCTGCCGTGCTACCAGCCATAAGCTGGCGCCCAAACATGCAAGAGAGAGAGACAAGAGAAAAACACGGCACCGACCTCGACCTTCAGCCTCTCGGACGGCTAGAGCGCTCTGCACCGTGACGTCACTGGTGTGCTCCTCGCTGGCCGTCTCGCTGGTATTTTCTTTTGTCGTTGCTATCTTCCTCCTTTTCGTCCTCTCGTTCGCTCCACAATACTGCTGTTGTCTTCGCCGCCTCCTTATCGTTCGATACCGCAACACGTTCAGACTGCTCGCGCGCGCACCCGCGCATCTCGCCGGTTACCCATACGCACCGGTGCCGGGTATACTTCGGGACACGGCTGGGCGCGACCCAGCCTTACGCTCCACTACTCGTCCGCGCACTGGGCGTGTCTCCGAAACGAATGATCGTCGACGAGGTCGCGGGGCCAACTTGGAAAAACCGTAACCGTCGGTTTTATCCGCGCTCGCGACTTCCTCTGCTTATCGCTTAGTAGAAACTCTCCCAATTTTCCGCGGCGATCCGCAATTCGAGCGCTCTCTCTCTCTCTCTCTCTCTCTTCTGCGCCATCTGCATCGCTCCAGTCATCAGCTTAGCCCGTGTTCAGCACCTCGCAAATAAAAGGTCCAAGCGTGAGTGTGTGTACCAAACGCACACACTCTCAGCCTGGCGCGGCGCACGGATATTTGCGAGAGCCAAACGGACGAGATCGGCCTAGCCGAGATTCTCCGTCACAAAATATAAGTGTCATATCGATGAAGTCTCTGTCTATCTCTCTTTCTCTCTGTTTCTCTTTCTCTTTCTCTATTCACTCTCTTCCTTGTTTGGTAACATATTTTCTATACAAATTCCTTCTTTTCGCTCTCTTAACTCGAAGCTTTATTAATTCGTGTTTATTATTTACTTTCGCCTGCTTTCTTCGCTTGTTTATTCATAAATTTGCTGCATTCATGCTTCTATCTAAATTGAGTGCCATGACACTCTCCCCAAGTTCAGAAAATTGTTCTTTTGTTAGTGACATTTTTGTACCACTATACCAGGTTGGTAATAGTCTGGCCTATGACCTCCAACGAGCCAAGTTTTACGAAGTGTGGATCAATATAATGATTATCTTTAACATTCTTCGTGGAGGCATACACCTTCACTTTATATTATTGAAAATAATCGCTGCTTCTACCAAAAAGTATGTTATAAATTATAAGATTTCTGTATTGTCATATTACTAATTTACATTTTCCCTTGACTGACTGAAATTTAAATATTTCGGTAAGATAATATTGAATACGATTTATTTCAGATTACTAGTTGATTGATAATTATTATTTTAAAATAAGATATTAGGCTAATTAATTTTCCGATATTTGGCTTTTTTGATATTTAAGGAATAGTCAAAAATATACTTCAAACGAGTAAAACGTTATAATGAGTTTGATGTCAACTCGTTATGTCTCTCTCTCTACGGCGATAATATTAGGAATATCATATATCTATAATGTTATATTATTTGAATTATGTTTCTCCTTAGCAGCAGCAGACGACGACTGCGGATAACAAAGTAACAGAGAGTGCTGGCAGAGAGAGACCGCGTGCGCGTGTAGGCATAACTATAATGTGTGACGGCCGTGCACTGTGTGCCGCGTGATGAAGGGCCGGCAATTAGCCGATAGCTCGCGAGCCGTGCAGAGGTGTTGGGATGTGCCGATACTTTTGTTAGCTTTTCTTTGTGAATCGTCTCGTGGCTGAAAAGTGATCCTTGTTTGTGACTGGTTAGTGAAGTGTAACTGTGCGTGCGATATCTCCTCTCCTTCGTGATAAGCGACTATTCAAATAAGTGAATTCAGCAATCTTGCCGAATTATAATCGAGAGACACCGATTAATGTAAGTACCGACCGTTCCTTGAATCTCTCTCTCACTTTACCTATCTCGCCGCTCTCTCTGAACCGTCCCGTACACTGACACGTAAATAAACTATATATATTTGTATACTACAACTGCATGGCTTTTCTTTTGGACTACCCTTTTCTTCCTATCGCTTCCCTCAACTTTCGCGATTTAAGCTGCGCGACCCATGACGTTCTCCGCGGGCCAGTTGGCGATCTGACCTACCGGGCCGGTCTTACGTAGTAGAACGTAATTCCGCGAAGAGCTGCAATTGTGCCAGCCACTACTTTATCTCGGTTAAATTAATATATTGTAGTGATCTAAATTCCCGTCACAACGTAAAAGAATAAACTAATCTAATAATTTTGTATTATTTGTAAATATATATTGTTAATTTTATGGTTCAATGTTCAAAAAATAATTTTATAATTCGTACATAAATATTTACTAATATTTAATATTTTTCAAGAGCGATATCAACAAGGATGGTAGCCGGAATGTGGTGGTTTTTTACACTTATCATGATATCATCGTACACAGCCAATCTTGCAGCTTTTCTAACAGTCGAACGTATGGATTCACCAATTGAAAGTGCAGAAGATTTAGCAAAACAAACTAAAATCAAATATGGCGCTTTGAAAGGAGGAAGCACCGCCGCTTTTTTTCGAGTAAGATTTTATGGAATACTATTTATATAGAATAATTGCTTTTATAGCTTTATAACGATATGAGAATGCATGAAGTATTTTCTTTCTGGTTACTCACTCGCGTATTTCTGATATGCACCAGTGAAAAGCCAAAGTAGGAGAGACAGAAGAAGAGAAACAAAGAGCCAACCGAGAGAAAGAGATATGTTAGCAAAATAAACATGGGATAATATTAGACTGACTAATCAAATACTTTAAGACGTACGACTAATAATGACAGGATAACTAAAGGATTTCGGGGCGGAGCATTTCTGAGCTTAAAGTATCTTTATGTTTTCCGAGTGATCACGATCCCTGGGTCCGCTTAACCATAAGACGTTCAAGGTAAAATAAAGGTCAGAAAATTTGGTTTTCTTTAAACGGGAGTGGATATACACTTAAATTTTTACAGTAATGCATTGCATATTAGTCTAAACACGTTTTTCTAACCTTATTATTGTTATATGTATGGTACAATAAGACTCAATTACGGGAAGTAAATTTGGTAGAAAAGTTAGTCGGTTGCGGTTTTTTCTCTATGTATATTATTGCTATTTGTTACAATATCTTTAATAATCAAAAACTAAAATTCACTGATTAATCAAAAAATTTTACGAAACATGTTTTACTGTAGGTACTTAAGATGTAAATGATTTGAAAACACAAAAATTTTGTGTATTAATTGCTTTTTGCAAATTGCTAGTAAGAAGAAATATATAACTGCTTATATAGAATAATAAATATAGGAATATATAATATATAAATGACTTGGTCCTTCAAAAGATATTTCCAAATTCTTAGCTTCAAGATTAATAGAAAAAAATTGTTGAATCATTTGAAAACTCTTCAGTATTAAGCAACGAATATACAAGTGGTATTTAAAAAGTAAGATGACTTTTCAATTTTCGCAGGCAATGTACATTCAAGTTTTGAATTTTTGTTGTTGTATTGGTACACTCGCCACGATCATATATTCATAATTTCGACTATATAGCACGTGTTGTTTTTCTAGCAGAGGGGTTAAAGGTTAGAAGTGTTTACATTAAACATTGTGTGCAAAATGGAAAGTAGTGCTCTGAAGCTCTTGAAATGTTAACAATTGAATACGGTGAGTCTACTCTGAGTAAGAAAATTATGTATAAGTGATTCAAGCTGTTTCAAGAAGGCTGAGAGAATGTCGAAGACGAACCTCGCCCTGGACGTCCAAGCACATCAACAACAGATGAAAACGTTAAAGCAGTGAAAAAAATCGTTGAATCATCATCAAAGAAGTTGTAGAAGATGTTGGCATATTGGTTGGCTCATGGTATGACATTCTTTAGGATGTTTTAGGCATGTGACATGTGCCAGCGAAATTCGTTCCAAAATTGCTTAATTCTGATCAAAAGAACCGTCACATGACCATCGCTCAGGATATGTTGAATGAAGTCAATAAAGATCCTGATTTTTCAAAAGGGTTGTAACTGGCCATGAATCGTGGTTATATGGTTATGATGTCAGAACTAAAGTTCAATCGTCCTAAAGGAAGATCTTAGAAGAGCCAACACCCAAAAAAGCACAAGTTCGATTAAATATCAAGGTTTTGCTCACTGTCTTCTTTGATTACCATGGCGTAGTTCATCGGGAATTCTTACCACAAGATCGTACGGTCAATAAGGAGTATTTTCTTGAACTTATGCGTCGTTTGCAAAAGGCAATACGCAAAAAAAGTCCGGAACTTTGGAAAAACAATTCGTAGATTTTGCATCACGATAATGCACCTACTCATTTATTGTTGCTTGTGAGAGATTTTTTGGCCAAAACCAACACCACAGTCATGCCTCAGCCTCCATATTCGTCAGATTTGACTCGCAGTGACATTTTTCTTTTACCAAAACTCAAGAAACCCATGAAAGGACGGAGATTTTCAACGATTGAGGAGATAAAAACTGCATCGCTGAAAGAACTGCTTCGATGATTAGAAAAAGCGCTGGCACAATTGTATTATATCTAACGGGAACTACTTTAAAGGGAAAAACATAATTATTAACCAGTAAATAAATATTTTTTGAAAAAACCATAAAGTCATCTTACTTTTTGAACACCCCTCGTAAATGTACTGAATATGTTAGTAGTGACTGGCCTCTATTTATCGATTTATCAATGAGGACTTTAAACGCTATTTTGCTTTAGAAAGGACACATACATCCTCTACTAATTAATCATATAATATTTTTAAGTAAGAAATATAATAGTCTCTATTTTCTTTTTAAAAGATTATAGTATTATATTTAAAGCTGATGATTAAATTATAATTTCAAAATAGCCAATATTTTGTTAGGTTAAAAAAGCACAAGCATCCATGTTTTCTATATAAGTGATGTAACAGTCATACTCGAGATCAAAATTAGGTAAAAAAAGTTTGTCTAAGGATTTATCAGGTAAGCTTATTTTTAGATTTATAAATATTGTTAAGGAGTCTTTTCTCTAGTCATTGTGTCACCTTTAAACTTTTACGTATCATATTTAACTTACTGAAACAGCCTTTCAAACAAAACGATCGGAGAGTTATTATTTAATGCATATATAAAATAAATTATACGATATTATTAAATAAAAACTTAATTAAAGCATATTGAAGATTCTTAAAAAGGAAATCAATAAAAGATAGATAAAAGATAGAAAGATAGACAAAAGATAGAAATGACTATGATAACTAAGATAATAGGTTAGATTGTTATAAAGAAATTAATACAAAAATTTGTAAATTAATAAACATCCGACTTTAAAAGAATTGAAAGATTTATTTTTTGAAGTGACATTATTAATATCCTTAAAATCTTAATTAAGGTAAGAGAATATACTACAACTTTGAAGATTATGAAAAAAATCATGGACTGTGAAAAAAAAAATTTTTAAATCCACAAAACTTTTTTTCAAAAAATTAAAAAAAAACTAGTACTGTATTCCACTTGCAAAAACAAACATTTTTTTAATTTTTAGAATTCACTGACATAAAAAATGTTGAAAAAAACTGTCATTTTCCGGAAAGAATACCCGTGCGCGCTTCGGTTTCAATGAAAATAATTTTTTGAACAATGATTCATATAGAGCTTGATAAAAGTTAACAAATGCTTTAACTCAAATTTTTGTAAGAATTCTTTTTCCAGATTTGGCAAATTTTCAAAGTTGGCAAAAATTTTTCCGAATTTTCAATGTTGAATTATTGCTTGCAAAAATCTAAAAAAAACCGATGACATTCATGAATCATACCATTTGAAAGATCTTGGAAAGACTTTTTAAAGGCGTCCCCGAGCAACTCTGTACGTTAATTTTTACTAGAGATATTGAATTTGAAATTTTGACTAATTTTGCGGCGGAAGGCCTAAAGTAGATAACGGGTAATGTACGTATTAGTTCATATGATTAGCAATTGAAAATATAATAATATAGTTTTAGCGAATGAAACATAGATTTATTTATAACGAGTGCAAGAGAGCTCGAGAGTCCGCGCACCAATCGCCGTCGGCTAGAAAAAGAGAAAGAGTGACAGCGTGCGCTTGCGTGTACGTACTTTCTTTTTGGCGGCTTATCTTTATCGGTGAACTTCAGGCCCTTCTGCGCGCTGTGCGCTACCGCGGGAGATCAAATCAATCAGAGCCGCGCGTCCAAACCTTAAGCAACATTTCAGACTTTAGTTGATAAGCTTATCTCTCGGGAAATGAAGCCGTATGCGTTCGCGTATACCCACGATTTGATCATTGCTACGGAAACATTTACCGAGTATGTTAAGTGGCTCACTATAATTCTACATAGAATGAATAAAGCAGGGCTCAAGATCAATTGTAAAAAGTGGCGATTTTGTACGACGGAGGTACGATATCTCGGCGTACTAGTAAATCGCGACGGCATCCTTCCAGACCTCGAACGAGTCCAACCGATATTTGAGTACCCGGCACCGAAGAATTTCAAGCAGTTACGCAGATTTCTTGGCATGGCTTCGTGGTACCGCAAATTTTTAGAAAACTAAGCCACGATCTGTGACCCGCTTAATCTGCTCACGCGGTAAAACGCCAAGAATAAGTGAAAAAATGAGAAAAAGACAGCTTTAGAGCAGGTAAAACGTCTACTTGTGACCGCACCTATACTCGCTCGGCCTGACTTTAATGCACCATGTACAATCCAATGCGACGCGAGTGAAACTGGCCTAAGGAATGTTTTATTGCAGAAAATAGACGGCGAAGATAGCGTTCTCTGCTACGCAAGTCGCATCTTATCTGCACAGATCATCGTTCATCAATCACTAAGCGTGAATATTAAGCAGTTTTTTGGTCGATTGAAAAATACAGACTGTACGTATGTGGAAGGATATCATTTTACTGTGATAACTGACCATGCGAGCCTTAAGAGCTGCAAAATCTGAGACACTCCAACAGAAAATTAGATCGGTGGTCTCTGCACTTGCAAGCGTATGACATTGTGCACCGTAGGAGAAAGTATAATGTCGTCTCTGACATGTTATCGCGCATGTATGAGTCGGACAAGGATGAAGCCGTTGCGCTCGCTTCGTTCCAGATTGACGAGAGTATAAAAGACGCTTGGTATTTGAGGAAACCGCAACAAGTTCTCAAAAATCCCAAAGCGTATTTTTATTGGAAGGTTGTAGGTGGCGGTCTGTACACGTACAGGCCTGATCCATTAATTGACGATTTGTTTGCAAATAACGAGTAACGAGAGAACGTATCGTAGAATGTCACAGAAAGTTAACTGAGGGAATCTCGGCCGCTACAAAACTCCTCAGAACGTAATTCTTCGCTATTATTGTCCAAGAATTTATAAAGATATTGCTCATTACGTGTGCAACTGTTTAGTATGCCAGCAAGTTAAAGTTAAGCAACTTTCTCCCGCAGGACTTATGTTTCGGCACATTGTTTTCTACCCGTGTGAAATACGAGGTCTGTCCGGAAAGTATCGGGCCTACGTTTATATCTTCGCGCCATAGT